TTGCTACTTATTTTTGACTATTTCCTCATGAACCTACTCCAGTCAGGCTTTCTTCCTCCTGCTCTACTAAAGCCGTTGCCAGAACCACCATTCAGTCTTGCCTGCCTTAACTATTTAGTAGCATTTAACGCAGCTAACCACTTTTAAGAGTGAAACTTTAAAAAAAATTGACTTTCTTTTCACCACATTCTCTTGCTTTTTCCTCTCTCACTGATCTCTTTCATTGTCTTTTGCTCATCTTCGCACAAATTAGGTGGTCTCATTCAGTTTAGCTGCTTCAAATATATCTGTGTGCTAGTAACTCTAAAAATTGTATTACCAGCTCTTTTCTTGCTTTGAACACAATCAGTACCTTTAGCTTACTTCTTAACATCTCTTCGATGTCTAAAGAGGATCTCAAACTTAATGTTTCCTGTGGAACAATTTATTGTTGTCCTGAAATCTCTTCTTTCACTGTTCCTGCCTCAGTAAATGACATTGTGTGTTGTTTAGGCTAAACATATATGATCACTGGAAAATACTATATGGGCTTTACCTTTGTAATACATCCTGGCTTGAGACACTTTTCCTCTCCACTGCTGTGACTCCAGAACTTGCCAGCACCACTGCTCGTGGGGACTGCTGCCAAAGCTTCCCAGCTGGTCTCACTGCTTATACTCTTACTTTACCCATTTTAGTTTTGTTCTCTACATAGTAGCAGAGTGATCTTTTAAAACCCAAAGTAAGAGTCTTTTCCTTCCCTTGATCTTCAAGCTTTACTGACCTTGGCTACTGGTCCAAATGCATCTTATGCTCTTTCCCTTACTCTCCAGGCTCCAGCCTTTCCTTTCTCAGTCACCTGTACTTTTTGTCTTCCTTGCTTTGGAACCTCTTTCTCCTATATATTCCCTTACTTCAGTCAAATCTCTACTCAGTTGCTCTCTTGTCAGAGAAGCCTTTCCTTACCAACTTGTCTGAAAAGCAGCACTTGGTGTGGTCTGTCCTCTTCTCTTGCTTTACTTTTTCTCCTAGTATTTAGCAGTTTTGACATCATAGTACATATTTTTTAGGTTGCTTCCATATCTTGGCTATAGTAAATAGTGCTGCTGTGAACCTCTGTGTGCATGTGTCTCATTTATTTATTTGTTTGTTTGCTTGTTTATTTATAGTCGGTTTACAATGTTGTGTCAGTTTCTGGTGTACATCATAATTTCAGTCATACATGTATATATATATATATATATATATATATATATACACACATATATATATATTCCTTTTCGTGTTCTTTTTCATTATATGTTACTACAAGATACCGAATGTAGTTCCCTATGCTGTACAGTGGAAACTTGTTGTTTATACATATTTATTGTGTGCCTTTCACACTAGAATATAAGCTTTATGAGGTCAGGAATTTGTCTTGTTGGTTGATTTATTCCCAGTGCCTCTAATACTGCCAAGCACATAGTAGACATTGACTTACTAATTGAGGCAGTAGTGCGTTCTTATATTTTCCTAGGCTACTCTTGTTCTTGGAACATCACCACATAACTAAAATTCTGACATTTAATTTTTTTTACCTGAAGAGCCCCACAAATAGACTATCTTCTCATACCATCTCCCATGAGATGT